GCTTTAGTTCAACCAGAGTTCAAAGATGTATTCTATGTAGAGTTTCAAAGACTGGAGGCTCCCAGAAAGACTCCAGATTAAATACCACTCTGTAGCAAAGTAACTTAAAATGCTTCTTTCTCGAATTTAGTAAGAAATACATATCAGAAACCCACAATGTGGTTGTATAAAAGCAGAAGGCATTTCAAATGTTTTGAAAATAAACAGAAGACCAAGTGTAAAGTATCTTTTCATATATATCTTTTATAATTTACCAATTTGTTCTTGAAATTATGATTTCTCCATCAGTCAAAAATACCACCTACTCGGGACTGATGCAGAAATTATTAGTAAGAAATTTTGCTAAAGAAAACATTTCACTGAGCTATACTTTTGTGAAGAAAGTCCAAATCCTGCAAGCAAAATGTTGTTGCTAATAGATTAGATATCACTTCTCATTATTAATTTCTTCTCAGTAGTTATTCAGAGGAGAATACTTCCTTCTTAAGCTTAAAAACATGTCTTAACATAAGTATTGCAATTTCCATTCCAAGGTAAAGAAATTCTCAGCAAAGCAACCATTAGCCCTTACATCAAATTTATACAAGCTGAAATTACCAAGACTGGAACTAAACACTGTAAAAGCACTGGCCTTGGCACTGTGAATTGAAACAGAAAGTAGTTTATTAAAAAAACAGAGTGCACTGGGAACCTGAACAAACCCATGAAAATAAAGCGAAGAATCCAGACAGGTCTTTCATGTATTCACTATTCAGTGAATACATGATCAAACCTGTCTTATGCACATGGAATCTAAATAAAGTTAACTGTGTATCAATAGATGCAGACAGAAGCGTGGTTTATGAGCATAGTTAAATAACCACCATACTTTTTAGCTGTAACCTTTCATGACTAGTATAATCCACTGAAACACTTCATTGCATCGCTGCATAAATCCATTTCATATTTGCAACCTTCCTCCTTCATTCCCACTCACCCTCAGGGGAAGGTCTCTCATGTTGGTGGCCAATCTGTGCAAAAACCAGAACAAAAACCCAACGTGCCTCCCCACACCAGAAAACTGCCCTTTACCAAACACCAAGCTGCAAAAGCCCGTAGACGTGCTCTGAACCGTGCTTCGGCAGCAGAGGGACACAAAACCAGCAAGCTGCCTCCAACCCCGCCGTACTTCAGGGAGGCCTCACCCCTTGAGACCTGGGAGCTTTCGGTAGTCCCAACACCCAAATAGTCTTTCCCACAAAGGGGTGGCCACCAGTCCTTTACTTCTTCACAGCTTCCTGCGGTATAACAAGCCCTTAAGCTTATTAGAAACTGGAGACCTCTGTGAAAGACTCTTCATATCATAGTGACTATTAACAGCAAACAGAATACTGCTGCAACAGTTTATTAACTTTTAAGTAGGAAACTGAAAAGTACAACATACTGATTCTATGAAAACTAATATTATAGCAAAGGTAGATAAACTGCACTATTTTTTACTTCAGTAAGGGCTGGGCTCATGTACCGTTGTTTAATGTAATCTCTGCTTGGACAGTAATTCCTTGGGCACGACTGAGGCACGTGAAGAGGTATGGGATATCAGGGTGTTTGCAGCACGAGCTATCTTTCAAAAATCTGAAGGTTCCCATCATGTCCTTCCCTTCAAGAATTAAAACCCAACTGCAAAGTCTGCACTAGAACATATGAACAGAGAAATGGAAGGGTTTATCTGGACTATCAGTTCACCATCTCGCATGAACATAATACTAATTTAGTTTGAGTAGCTATATGATTTTTTTTTTCCTGCTAACTCCCACTCACCGCTAAATACTTCCAATATCTTAAGAGAAATTTTAGGTATATTATAGAAAATCACATGCTGCACCTATATGCCATGCCATTGGAAGACAGCATTAGAGATGGCACATCTCAAATTCCTGTTTTGTCGCCACAATTGCTTTAACATACCAATTTATTAAATGAAGTGCACCCTGTTTCCTAGCTTCAGTAATACAACTGAAGCATTTAATTAATTATTTTCAAAGTCTGCTCTGCATCAGAAAATAAGTCAACAGACACACAGTACACTAATATTTGCTGTACAGGGCTTCACATTTCCACTAGAAATTTCCAGGATCTACAAACTGAAAGAGGATAAACCCCAACCTTCAACATATCTAATCTTCAACAGTGTTATTTGTTTCATGTGCCTGTCCACTCTTCTACCAAATATATTCTTTTGAGACTGCCACAGCCTTCCACTTCATTTTTCTTCTTCCTACAAAGACCAGTATTAAAGCATACTACCATGGAATATATTTGTTCAATATATGTTATTATGACAACTAATTCACAACATGTAAATTTAAGATAAGAGGAAGTATGAGAACTGCGAATGTGCTCACTGCCACTCAAGTCTAAGTGGAGACAGCAGAGTGAAATGAAAATGCACTTGAAAAATAAAGCAAACTGTGCACTGAGAACTTAAAGCTTGAAATATCTCAACTAATCAGACACCTCTTATTGCTATGTATATACCCTGCTATGGAAGCTAAACATTCAGTCTTCTCTTGCAAACAAATTCTATTTGTACTAGTCTCAAAAGCTTTTTCATATTATGTACAATTAATTGTTACTAACACTTATTAAAAACACCTGTGCACTTTCATGATTTATAACTCCTTATTCATAACTTACAGCAATACGTTTCATGTGTGACATATTTCAACTACATTAAGTGGAATTTTATTCTAAGTAGAAAATTTTATAACTATGAGGGGGCTCAAGTCCAGCTCCTGCTGACGTCAGGCTCCTGCTAGCTTCAACAAAAGCTGGATCAGAGCTCTAACAGCAATTCTTTTATTTTAAAAATTTAGATAAGAAGCAGCCCAGAAAAATACTATCTACATAAAGATCAAGACTATTTAAGAATAAAAACTTTAGATTGCAGTAAGCTGCAAATGTATTTTATTGTTACACAGGTCATAATCACAAGAGGCTGATCAATTGTGAATAGTATAAACAACTGGTTTTTTTAAATGTACTAATTTCTATTTAATCTCTTTACACAGTATGAAACTCACATTCATTGTTTGGTCTACACAGTACCCTTTTAACATGACATTTGTGAGATAAAGGCAGGCATTATATTAAGTTGCATAAGAAGCTAAGATTTTAAAACAACTCTAGGCCATCAAATTGCACCCTGACTGCATGGTACCTACCAAAAGTCATAAAAGTAAATGGATGTAGGAAGGATGCTGCATTTCTGCCCCCCCTTCCCCCAAAAAGCAGCTATTACATTTCTCAAAGATTTTTTTTTTCCTCCATCCATGAGAATTTTAGAAATGGCACCAATCAGAGAAATGATCAAGATATTCTGTAGATTTCAAGACTGAAGACTAACATTAAACAGAAGTGCTAGATTTCTATCTTATAAGTGCTACAGTTCCAGCATCAGTAACTACGGGAAAGGTGTAACGGAGCACTGGAGCATTGCTTACCAGAAACCTGTAGTCTTTGCGGGCCTCATCTCTGCTAGGAATGCACTGAGTCAGAGCATGAGAGGACTGGATCGTATTTGCACTGCCTTTCTCTTGTTCATCTTTTGTTTTCCAGAAACATTAATAACTAAAATGTGGACATCACGGTGATCATTACTTGCGAAATAATGATTTAAATAGCTGGTCCAGGGTGGGTTTACATAATGAATAGTTGGGACTGGCCCTTAGAAGGGAGGTTTTCTTAATGTGGCAAGAGGTGATGGCAACAAATAACTCATGACTTCAGAGTAGAAATAATTCAAAGTTATTAAATACCATTTCAGCCTCATTATGCTCCTAACACCCCAAAACCTACAATCTTCAGAACAGAAACTTCAGATGTCATTGGGACATACACACTGGTATAGCACTTAGCTTTTGGAAATGTGGCTCCCAGAAACTGTAGCTAGTAGTTGTGTTGGAGTGGAATAAGCTCCTAGAGATTTTAACCCTGCTGTTTAAAAAGTGGTCTTGTACACTATCTCTTTAGCAGGAACAACACTGACCACAAAAACATCAATTTCAAACTTCAAACTTAAAATGGAATTAGGATGATGGGTGGAGGCTCTTTTCTATCAAGCAGAATCTCTTGCCTAGCAGACACTGGTCAGCATTTGAACCAGCACATTATGAGTATGTTCTCCAGCACTCCATTCAGGCTCAATCCTGGATTTAACGAACTGACAGGGAAATTTAACTGACAAGGAAACTCTTAAGAGGTAGAAAGGTCAAAAATAGAAAAGTTACTTAAGAAGCACTCAAACACTTTATTCTAGCAACAACACTACTACCTCTACATGGCTTCTGAGTGCAGAAGTATTGCCAAGGTTACTTATGAACTTTCCTACATAGAGTAAAAGTTAATTACAAATGTATTTGCTCTATCTTTGCAAACCTTACATGGGGAATAGTATTTAGCAGTAACCCTAAGCAATATTCCTTAATATCATTCTTTTTGCCTTTTATTTTTCAGAATTTGGTGCATTTTCTATGCAACAAAAATCATAGTATTAGGATGAATTAACAGTGACATGCCACCACCATGCCTTGCTTCTTCAAATGGTATTCTGAAAACATTCATCACTGGCTTGCCTTTCCTCTTCCAAACTTCATTTAGGAGGGAATTGTTCTTCCAGTCACTTGAGGCAGATTAAATTCTCATACCTTTTAGACTGACATTTTTCTGAAGACACTCAATGATTAGAAATACCCACGATAAACTAAAAGGCCTGTGCAAGCTTCCCATGTAGCTCTTTCTCCAGTAAACCCCTGACACACAGCAACCTTGCTATCCCAATCAAAATCAATGCCAAAACATTGCAGAGGTAAGTGTGACAATTTCAGAGTTACAAAAAAAAGGTACCTACATACAGAAGTTAACAATGACATAAAGATTGCATTGTCAAAAAGCATGCTGAATAGTGCACAGACACAATGAAACATCATTAATGCTTCTTTTTACATTTGAAAAACTCATACCTGGGTACACTGCCTGTTAAGCTTCTTTCACTTGATGATGACGACGACGATGATGATGATCCAGGTCTCTGATTTGTTTTCATTCCTAGAGTCTCTGTTGCACTAATCTGAGGTTTTTGACCTTTCTCTTCTGGCTTTTTTTTTTCGCTATCACTTTCATCACTGCCTTCACCTAAGATGTCATCCACCTGCCAAAGAGTGGAGAGTCAGTGTATCCTCTAACAGACTATTATATATCAGTTTTCCACAATTACTGGATTGCTCTCAAATAATCTTTAAGAATATGCTTCAAGTTTCCTTGACGTTCTTGAAAATTCAAATTAAACCCCAATGTCTTCAACGCAGTTTCTGTAACAGCTCTAGTAACATTCTAGTCAAATTAAATATATTTAGTCTATGTTTAACTTCAGATTTACATACTCACATACATGATACAGTCACATTTGAAGGTGTTCACACTTTATCATAACATGAACAGCTGTAAACAAGAAACTGTATTATGAAAAAAGTGCTATCTGTTTAGAAATTAAAGGGATAGATGTTTCATACTACTGCAACGTAATAAAATATATTTTATACTCTTATAACATATAGAATCACTTGGGCAAGGCATATTAAAATCTCTAGCTAATAACTATTCTTATATTTACAGGTATACCTTGATAGATATAACTTAAAGATAGATATAACTATAAAGAAATGTATTCCTAAATAATACAGTATGAATGGAACAAAATGTACAGAACCCCAACTCTAGTCAGATTGTCTGCTTATGTTAATTAATAAAGGCAAATCTATCAAAATGGTTACACATTTCATTAAATAATTGTTTGACCTTTGCTCCTGAAAAGTTAGCATGGGATTTCATACTCTAAGAACACGCTAATTTGCTCTGACAGGACTGGAACTGCTGAAACCATCATTAAAAGCAAATCGTACTCATGCACTACCCTGCTGAGCTTCAAAAGGCTATATCCTCTTTGAGTCAGCATTCAACCTTCATGAAGAGATGAAAACGTGAGAAAACATTGGTGAAGATCCCACAGTCTCTCTATTTTTCTGAATGGCAGAGGACATGGAAAGAAGCTACGTGTAAGTATATTTACAGATATCTAAGAATTTTTCCTAAAAGCTGTTATCTCACAGCATTAAGTTGAAATATGGTTCACTACTACTCTCTGTTCTCACTAATGCCACACCTGCTTTATCAAGAAGAAAAACTCTATATATGAACATGAACCAAAAGATTTTAACGCCGTTTTTACACTGATAATTCCAAAAGCTAGAAGAAAGCTGTAAGAAAGTCACTTATATATGGTCATTCATAAATGCACCTCTAATTTCTTTGTTTACCTTGATATGCATAGAAGGAAAGTCAAAGCTGCCCTCTATTTATCAAACTAAATGCAAAAGATACACACCTGGCCAGCACTCTACTGTAAATATAGTAGAGGTAAATGAAATACCTTTTTCAGAGAAAGGGAACTCAAGGAAGAGCTTGCAAGCAAGGAAGGAGAGGAAACAGAAAATGTAGAAGTTTGGTAACAGTCAAAGACCTATTCCATTTCTTTTTCCGATGTCCTAACAGAGAAAGAAAAGATGTATGACCCAAGATGATTCAAGTGCTCCATACGGCAATTTCACCAAGCACATAGGTGACTCCCATCACACTCCCGTTGATTTCAGAAAGATGTAGCATGTGGCATTTGTCTTCAGTTCTCTACTAAATGGATGGATTTGGGGGATTTATTACCTTTCTACAAGCCTCACTCAGCTATTCGTGTTTGTGGCTAGTAGCAAATAATTTTTCTTCCTTATCTTGTCCTACTTTCCACTGAGGATTTCTGCCCGTCTATATTGCAAAAAAGAAATGACGTAGAAGGAATAATAATGGCAATGAAAAAAAAAAAGGTAAGAAATACTTCTAAACATCCTAAAATAATAATTTTGAGGAGACTTGCCAGCATAAGGGAAAGCAAGGACATTTTGTTACTAAGTATGCTTGTGAAAACCAGTTTCTTTAAATATGTAATTGTTTCACAGTACTACAACTCAAGCTTTAAAACTTTATTTAAAAATCCAGGTTATATCATCCTTGAATGGAATGACTTCTATTCAAAATGAAATGTAACCTGAAAGCTTCTTAGATCTACAGTTTAAGCTCTTATTTCCATTGGCCCTTGTCTTGGTACATTTTTATTACCTGAAACTTTGCTGCCTAATGCCCAGCTCTTTCATTGTGAAAGCTGTAAAAAAAATAAAAAAAAAAGGAACCACATAACAGCTTAGTGCATCTAAACATAGATGACAGTTTCATGTAGAAACTGTAGGACTTGCTGTGTCAAATCAAATTACATGAGTTCAAAAATGCTTTTCCCATGACCAGAAGTTGTCATATGCGTGGAAAATGGGAATCGTGGAATGCAATCCAGGGTCAGGGCAACTGAAAAGGTGGCTAGAGATAAGCCGGCAGTGAACCTAGTAGAAGTGCGGAAATTACACAGGGTAGGTATTTTTTGGCATGTAGAGAACACACAGAAAATTTCAAGTGTTTAAGTATTACAGTTTCTGCGATGGCAGGAAGACCAGGATTGCATACCTTTGTTAGAAGATACTCACTGCAGCCAACATGGCCAGCAATTCACAGTCAAATGGCATGACAGATCTACAGCCGTAACGACTCCTTTCCAGCAAGCCTTACATTTAAAATTACATTCCTTCATTCCAAAGGCAATGCTTTTGCAGAAAGTTGTATGTTTAAAATTACGTTCTCACTACAAAATATGTTAAGGTTTTCCAAGGACAAGGTTAGGTTGACAGACATTCAGTGTTACAGATGTCTCTCACAAACCGAACTTCTATAGTCTTAAAATCTACTTTGTGTGAACAGTTTTGACAGACTAGCAGCCTAGTTATTGCCACGTCTTTATTCTTTCATTCTGCAAAAGGATGACATTATTTTTTTGAAGTCTGGAATGCCATTTAGTATTAGAATTACTAAGTTAGTTGTACACATATATGCCCCATTTCTGTGGAAGCTGCACGTATAAGCCATAGAAATATGGCAAAGTTTGAAAATCATTGCATATGAAAATAATTAATGTGGGATGGTCTTAGAAACCACATTAACTAAAAAGGCACCTAAAATATGGATTCCTGCCTAACTATTGACTAAATTGCAAACTGTGGTGAAAAATATAAATATTACCATCTTCATTTTCCAGAATTCTCAAAAGAAATTGAAAACTATGTTTTCAGTGAGGCAGTGAGATTTAAGCCTCTCACTTGAACAAATGAATAGGTGAAAAAAGCACATTAATACTTAACACATCACTAACTTTAAAAAAATAAAAAAGCTTGAAAGTTTCCTCTGTTCTTCAGTCTAGTTCAGACTAATGCAGATACTGACGTACCAACTACAATTTCTGCTTGTAACATTAGATTTTATGTGATTAATACAAATGGAAGACATAGCACTTTAGAAGACAATGCCAGCTAATAGCAAATCTTACTGATAAGATACAGTGAGGGGATGTTTACTGCTTAAACACTACCATTGCAGATAACTTTAAAATATAACACGACAGGAATTATTAACATTTAAAAAGAAAAATTATTCATCCCTTGAAGATGACAAAATGTTCCATTTGGCAAGACAATGAGAAGTCTGACAATACTTTTAAACACATGATTGTAAGAGTCAGGAAGTCCTCAGCTGACAAAGTTATTTTACTTCTCATTTAGGAGAAACACAGCATACACTCATGCAGACAAAGTATAGAGACCAAAGAGCAATGAGATTTTCAGTCTCTCATTCTCTGATTATGAGCTGTAAAGTACCTTAAACTTTGTTAAAAAGACAAAAACTTCTGTAGTATTAACAAACCAGGTCAGCTGGAAAATGGTCTTACTCTAGAATTTGAGTTTACACATTCAAAATCAATCAAGACTCTGAGAAAATTAAAAAAAAAACCCCCAACAACAAAAAAAACCTGTCATGAGCAACCTAAATTTGTTAGAAAGGTAATTTACAGGCAATGTTTTGGGACAGCATTATGGATTTGATAGAGATCTATCATGACGCCTTACATTTTTTGGAAGGAGCAATTACATATGCAGTATTGTAAACTACATTAAAAAAAAAGAATCTGTGAATAAACTTTAATCCTTGTTTTTATACTAGCAAGTACTTAAAAATTCAAGTTTTAATAGAACCGAGAAACGAACTACCTTAGCAACAGGATAACACATGTAACTACTTAAATGACCTATCATAAAAACAGCAGAATGCTCTGAATCAATTCACATATTTTAGATTCTGTTGACTACATTGCATCTTAGGAAGAACTTGCAGATACTAATACAATCTGCCATCTGAATGTGCCAAAAGGTTTCAATATGTACCTTATATTCCCTGTATGGCATACAATTTCATAAAAATAACACTAAAATGAAAGTAAGATATCTAAGTGCACCAGTAATTGCAGGTATCCCCATATAAAACATGGTATCACCTCCACGTACTCTTTACAAAGAGTACCTTAAAATACTGCCATGTTCGGGGCCATGGACCATGATGCCCTCTTAGTAGTTATTAAACATAAAAGATAGCAGATCACCAACTCTACCCAATTAGTGGGTAAATTGATGCTCTACAAATACCAGACTAAAGGAGGCAAATAGATGTTTCACATGTCAATTCAAACTTCACTAGCTTTATCTGCACTGCATTTCTTTTAGTGTTCTTCCAATTAGCTGAGTAAGTCCGACTCTCAGTGTTTCTGGTCAGGATGATATACCTACACTGTAAATACCAATCAATACCAATTTATTTTAATACATATCTCAAACTGTATGTGTACAATTACTTGAAATGTAATAGGCCGGCAGTCTTGAAAAAATTAATCATTAAATGCACACCACATCTTTTTTGAATATACTTAAATACATTGCTAACATCCTGAAATCCCAGTGTGCTCAAAACTTCCGAAGAACCAAAACAGTTCAGAGTTTGGGGCTGTTTCTGCTTGACATTTTCTCTTTTTACCAAAACATATTTTGGGACTCATCTCCTAGACACTTGCATGACTTACGTGAATATTTATTATTTGCTATTAAAAAAGAAAAGTAAAAAGCTAGTGTTTTGGTCTTACAGGTTACTTCTAAACTACAGGACATAAAGTGCTCA